ACCTGGCATGCCTGCTGTCACTGGTCAGAGCATTGAGCACAGGAGGCAGGGTGCCATGCCGCTGCACATGACATTGGCAAGGGCATCCCTAGAACACAGCACTCAACTCTGGTTGCCTTGGCACAGGAAAGATATTGCCAAATCCAAAAGGGTCCAGAAAAGACCCACAAGGACGCTGCTGGTATCAGAGGGCCCAAGACACAAGAAGAGGCCAAACAGGCCGGGGACCTCCTCCCCGAGTGCCAGAGGCCAAGGGGCAACCCTATAGAGGCTCTAAAATCATGAAGGGCATGGACAGGATGAGCAGCCAAGGTCCTGCCCCAAAGGTGGTGGTGGTGGAGGGGTGGGGGGTGCTCCAAAATCAGAGGGCACAGGTTCAAAGTGTGAGGGGAAAGATTCAAAAAGGACCCTACTTCTAGATTTTATCACAAGAACAGACACCTTTTCTACATCCACCTGGTCAAGTCCCCTTATATGTTTAGATTAATTCACCTCTGGCTCTGTGTACTCCAGAGGATATAGGCAATCTTGTGTAGCCTTCCATGTAGCAATCTGCTCAAAAAAGGTATTAGCTTAGCAAACCTTTATTGAACTCAAATTATGTTAATGGGAGTAGACTTCTCTATCTTCATATTGTATGGTTTTTACTAGGAAAATGGCATTATCAGTTAAGTAGAAGCTTAGTGTACATTTAACCTCAACTTAGGTGTGAATGTTCCGAAGGTAATGACCTAGACATTCGGTAAAGTTTGGGAATACCAATCGGATTAAAACTGCAGACTTACCTTTAAGTGTTCTCTGTGCTGGAAAGAATTAGGTAAGTATGAGTCAACACTACATCACCAGTAGATGGACGTCAGATATGCTAAACATCGACCTTACATATTTACAGATATATTACGTTGGCCATGTGGTCACCTTTATTTATCAAATCACAATTACATAAGAAATAGGAGCCCATTGAGCCTGCATGCAAAAATATTATGGTGGAATTTCTACCTCAACAAAAATCTTCCCACACTACCCTCACATCCCTTACTATGCAAAAATCTAATGACCTCTGCCTTGAGAATATTAAACTGAATATCTTCAACTCTCTTGGGCACAGGATTCTAAAAATTCACAATCTGCTTCTTCTGAGACTGTGGCCCCATATTTTATATTCTCCGGCCAGGTAAAACATTTGCTCAGCATCTAACCTTTAAGGATGTCACTCGATCCACCCTGACAAAATGACATGAACCACTTTAGAATGTTTATGTCATTTGCGGAAAACACCAGTGAATCAACAAGCTGGGGACACCATTGTTCAGAAACTGAAGTAGACCGGCTGTATATGAAATAGGAACAAAAGCAAAGGCAAAATGTTTGGCCCCTCAACTCCTGCTCTGCCCTTAAATAAGATTATGGCTGATCTGTTTGTGTTTTGAATTCCACATTCCAATCCAACCCTGATAATCTTTGATTACCTTGCCTAGCAAAAATCTATTAATCTCTGCCTTAGAAATATTCAATGACATTGCTTCAACATGGGAATACCATCACCTCCCAATTACATACAATCCTGATTTATTAACATTCTTTAGTGTTGGATTCAAATCGTGGAACTCCTTCCCTATCCAGCAGTTTGGGAGTGTCTTCTCCACAAAGTGCAGCTTTTCAAAAAAGCCACACAGGAATGACAATAGATGCTTATCTTGCCAGAGATACCTTTCACCGAAGAATGATTTTTTTTAAAAAATGTACACATGACTGATATGACGATGCTATGGCTTTAAGAGGTGTATTTTGTCCTTTTTTTGTGAAGATAGGTTGAGACAGAGATCCAAGCAGTCTGCTCAAAGCCAATAAATTAAAGGGCTTGTGAGGCCTTGGGTTGTTTTTAAAGTTGGAACAATAGAAGCAGCATGAATGGGTGGGATCAAGCTCCCACAAAACCAGGATTTTTACTTTAAGCTTTCAGCAGGGGTATTGAAGCTGGATGTGGAAGCTCGTATTCCTCTTTGCTACACCTAAAAGCTGGGGTTCTCTTCCTGCTGCTAGATTTGAGTGTGAGAATCTTTTTTACAGAACTTGCCTTTGCCAAGGATGTGTTTATGGATGCTACTATATTGGAACAGTTAATTCATAGTAGTTAATACATATACGTGCATATATATAATTTTGTTAAGCTATTTGATAGAGTTACAGTTAAGCCAATTCTTTTATTTTTATTTTATCTGTATTTAAACCGTTGTGTAAAAGTAAACTGTGTTTTGCTTAATGTTGAGTAGTTTGACCAAGCAAATTGCATTTAGATTGCAACATCTTACACCTACCTTTAAAATAAGAAAAAAGTTAGGGTCTAGGCTATCTTCTTAGTATATTTTGAGGGGTTTGGTCTGTTCCAAAAAAAGCAAGCAGTTATAAGAACAGATTGTGCTCAGTTGGGATTTCTCCTATCTGCAATTAAATACTTTTGTAAACGGTCATGCGATGTGCAGCAAACACAAATAAAAAACTTGCTTGACAGTATTTATAAGTTGATGTCAGAATTTGAAACAAATTTCCTATTTGTGCTGTGATAAAGTTATATAATATATATTATTAATTGGGAATTTGGATTTTTAAAATAGACGCAGATGAATTTTATTCTCAGAGTTCTATGAAGGTCAACTTTTTTTAAAAAGAGTTTACAAAGTAATTGAGGACAATTAACTTAATCCATTATTTCTAAATCGTGTAATTCAATTAAGTGACTTGTGATGTTAATTTGTGAAATATTTATACTAATCCATTTAGAGGGCGAGAGTGGTGCAGTGGTAATGTCCCTATGTCTTGACTAGGAGGTCTAGATTCAAGTCTCACTCACTCCAGTGGTATATAATATCCCTGAGCAGGTTGACTAGAAGAGATCTATAATTGAGTTTACCAAGGAAACAGACTAGGGGACACTAATTTAGTTGTGTATTTAGTTTGAAAGAATCAGGAGTTCAGTACAGGTGAAGTTTTCTCTCAGCAGAATGCTGTTAATTTGTGAAGCATTTAAATTGTGTGTTGATGGTAGCCATGATGTGGAGGTGCCGGTGTTGGACTGGGGTGGACAAGGTCAGAAATCAGACAATGCCAGGTTGTAGTCCAACAGATTTATTTGAAATCACAAGCTTTTGGAGCACTGCCCCTTTGTCAGGTGAAGTGAGGAGAAGCACTCAGGCACAGAATTTATTGTCAGAGTGATCAAAAGACATGACAGATCATTGACATGGATACCACCTTCACACGTGGGATCACCACCTACCACATACATGGCAGATACTCATGTGACTCAGCCAATGTTGTCTACCTCATATGCTGTAGGCAAGGATGCCCTGAGGCATGGTATGTTGGTGAGACCATGCAGACGCTACAACAATGGATGAATGGACACTGCATGACAATCACCAGACAGGAATGTTCTCTCCCAGTCAGGGAACACTTCAGTGGTCAAAGACGTTCCATCTCCGATATTTGGGTAAGCATCCTCCAAGGCAGCCTTCGAGATACATAACAACGCAGAATCGCCAAGCAGAAACTGAGAGCCAAGTTCCATACCCATACCCATACCCTCTGTTTTTGTTTCTGATTTTCGGAAATTTCTGAAGGGTCCTGACCCAAAACGTCAACTTTCCTGCTCCTCTGATGCTGCCTGGCCTGCTGTGTTCCTCCAGCTCCACACTGCGTTATCGCTGACTCCAGCATCTGCAGTTCTTGCTATCTCTGTTAGAAAAAGTGTTTTGTTTTGTGCAGAAGATAAAGTGGGGAGAGAAGGGGTAAGGAGTAAATGATAGGTAGAGATAGACCAGAGAGAAGAACAATTGGACACAGGTGTGGATAAGATCCACCTATCATTTACTCCTAACCCCCTACCCCAATCCTATCTTCTGCATAAAAGACAATTTTTTCCTACCCTACCATCAATTTTAAGGAAGTCACTAGACCTGAAATATTAACTCTGATTTCTCTGCACAGATGCTGCCACCAAACATACTGAGCTTTTCCAGCAAGTTTTGTTTTTGCTTGAGAAAGAATTCATAACTGTGTAAGGAGTTCAAGAAAGAATTTGTTTTCAAAAATACTTATGATAGGATTGATATTTCTGCATTATCCATTTGGATATTGCTGGGAAACAGGTTCAAACATTGCTCTTAATGGTAAAATTATTCTAAAGCATTGAATTTATAGAGTGTCATAAACTTCTGTTCTCTTGTTAAAGAACACTGACAGACTCGTGAACATGTGAAGTGACTATCATGGTAGCCAACTGCAAAAATATATATAATCCACGATGCCAAATTTCACTCTGTGATCTGACTTGTCCAATATTATCGTCAGTTGTGATCGTAACAATCATCATGGTTATTTCAGACCTTAGGCAAGTCTGTAAAACATTAGCTCACAGCAATTAGAGATAAAGATTTGTATTAATTCATTGTATGAACGTATCCATTTCTACAATGCAAGTATCAAAGAATTGTACGTATAACTATTCCCATGTAACAATCTAATCCTAATTTAACAAATCATATTTTGAACCGAGTTGAGTGAAACAGGTCAGACAATATGGGTCAATTTATCTCAAACCGAACCCACGCCAATTAATCACTGACTCATTCCAAACTCCACCCAATCAGCTCGTCTTGCTAAAAAGCCGATCCAAGTTTTTATTATGCTTCAAATTCACCATTACAACGCACTCCTCCTAAGTCTTCCATCAGGTTCAAGTTCACCGTATTCTACATCGGTTTCCGCTTAAAATACACTTTTATGTTAAAATGATCTCAGTTGTGAAAGAATTACTCCTCATGGAAAGGTCACGTGGTACAGTTTGCGAATCCTTAAAACCACTTCGCTCCCGTAATTTAAAATCGATCACTAAACACACGCGTATATTTGTAGATACTCATTTAATGACGTACCTTTCAATGAAATAAAATAAACTTCATATTTTTTTCCGAACAGGCACTGGGCTGGACAGCTCTAATTGCCATGTTAAGGCCGTTGGGGTCCTCGTTCTTCCTTTCCGCCGAGCCCCGCCATCTTGTAGGTATCGGGTTATCGGAGCCCCGCTCTAGCTATTACTAAAAACAGGCCTGGGAAATTGTAAAAGCTGACTTTCGGGTGTCTATCGCGCATTATAATGTGGTGGACAGTATGTTGTAGCGGAATAAGTTCTGCATAGTTTAGGGAGGGTTCCTCTTTTCCACGCCGTAGCTCTGAATCGTTCCCGCACCCTGTGTTTCGCCATATGGCCGCCGAGAGCCGACCATGTGGCAATGTAAGGAAATAAACCATTCCACCTTCTGGTAGAGGGAAGAAGGTGATGATGGTGGGAATATAGTCTGTGTCCTAGTGGTTGAGACTCTAGATCCAATAGTCTGGGTTTGGGCTGCTCCGAAAAGAGCAGGCCTTAAGGGAGCAACCGGAGCCGTGTTTGCATCCGTCATTGACTTTTCGTATGAGTTCTATCTGTTTGATTCGTTTGGATCTGGGGTAAACTACCTTGAATGTTGTTTGAGCAGGTTTAACCAGGGTCGTATAAAAATAATTATCTGAAGAGAAAACAGGACTGCCTGATTTAGAAGGAAAGTTGGGTGAGATGCTCTTGGCAGAGAGCTAGCATAGTGACGAAGAGCCGAATAGTCTCCTGTATTACATCATCTTTGAGCAACTCTCGGTGAGAGCGCCGTTATGTGCGGTTTGAGTGTATGTCTTTACCCTCAGGAATACTAAATAAATTGCAATTTGTTTCTTCAGTGAAGGGTCAAGATGACGAACACCAAGGGCAAGAGGAGGGGCACTCGCTATATGTTTGCAAGGCCCTTCCGAAAACACGGTGAGACTCGTCAATTCATAAGTTTTTTAGTTTTTAAAACTTGCGTGGATGTTAGATGGTGTTTCCTTGTTAGCTTTTGTTATCAACTGTTCTGACTTTGTATTGAATTTTGGCAAAGTTGAATCTAATATCATTTGTTAGACAATTCATGCCAACGAAGGAGTTACACCTTCAAATTCAACACAACTTTGCACTGATGGCTGAATTTGGATTTTTGATAGCAAGCTAAGAAAAACCATGCATCTGCACTGCTCTGGGCAGTGTATTTGCATGGATTTAGGCTTTGGCTTCTGGGATACAGGGTGCAGTTGAACTTCACAATTTTCTGATTACACTTGTGTTCATTGTATAAAGATGTTAGTGTAGTGGGTTGTTATGTTCTGTTAATCATGCTGTAATCTGGATTTCTGTTTTGTCTGGTGCTCAATGATGAATGAACTCCAATGATTGCTGTATGAGGCAAGATGAGCAAATTATTTCACCGGCACTGAGAGCAAACCAGAATTCTTTAGCGTGTGTGAGTGAGTTAATAATCTTCATGAGTTTTTCAATAAACCTGTTGGGCCATCACAGCACTGAACAAATCTATTATCTAGTTCTTGAAATGCAATTGTTTAATATCCACTATTGTCCTGGAAGGCCTGACTAATCCCAGAGACTGTCTGTTTATTCATGAGGAATTGGGATTAATGTCAGTAGGATGTTCAGTTTTTCATGGTGTGTTGGGTGCAGGGGAAATGTGGTCATCTGAGCCTGGTCCAGTTCATGTACTCTGCAAAAATCAGCTTGTTATCATGATTACAGCAGCCTGCATTATATATTTTCTGTTAAATGTATCACCCTGTAATTGAGTTTGCCTATCGTTACAAACTTGGACATCTGGCAAGTTCTGACACTTTATGGCTTAGTATCCAACGCGGCATTGAACCTTGGGGTACACCACCGTCTACCATCCTCAAGTCTGGAGAGTAACCGTGACCATGCCTTTCTGTTTGCTTCCCTGAAGGCAATTTTTTGCCAAGTCGACTCTGACCTTTCTTTTGCATGAACTGCAATTTTTTTTAGACTTTTATGTGGTACTTGATCAAGCACTTCTGTAGTACGTGTGTGTTCATCTGCCATTCTTTCTCTTCAACCTTTTGGCTTTTTTAAAATCAGAGGGTTTAATTAGATTGACCAGTATGATTTGCCTATTAACGACTGTTCTGGAATTATCTCCTTCGGATACCATATGGAATATGCAACATTTTTTAGTAGATAAAATGCACTGTTTAATTTTTAATCGTTTAACTTGGAACTTAAAATAGATTTGTCTTGTTTTAGGGCCTGTTCCTCTCTCAACTTACTTCCGTATCTACAAGAAAGGTGATATTGTTGACATTAAGGTATGTGACCATTGTAAGACCATAAGGAATAGGAACAGGAGTAGGCTGTTCGATCTCTTGAGCCTACTCCACTGTTCAATGGGATCATGACTGATTTGGTATTCCTAATGTCTGCTATCCTGCCTTTTTCCTGTAACCCTTGAGTTTCACTACTGATCAAGAATCCTTTTCTCAACCTTAAATATACACACCTTTGTGGCAAGGTGTTCCAGAGGTTCTCCACCCTCAGAAGAAATTCCTCCTTTGTTTCAATCTTAAAATTGACACCCCATTATTCTGACAATACTCTTTCGTCCTACATTCTCCCATGAGTGGAAACATTCTCTCAGCATTTACTGTCAAGTTCTTTAAGAATCCTGTATGTTTAGAATAAGAGATGATCTCATTGAAACTTAGGATAGGCAGAAGTAATTAGAGTTTAAACCTCTTTAACCTTTGTTCATAAGACGATCCTTTCATACCGGGAAGCGTCCTTATGAGCCTTCTCTGAATGGTCTCCAATGAACATAGAACAGTACAGCACCGTTCAGACCCATGATTTTGTGCCGACCTATTATCCTACTCCAAGATTGAACTGCCCTGCGCACCCTACATTTTACTATCACCCATGTGCCTATCCAAGAGTTGCTTAAATGTCTCTAATGTATCTGACTCCACTACCACCGCTGACAATGCATTCCAAGCACCCACCACTGTGTAAAGAACCTACCTCTGACATCTCCCCTATACCTTCCTCCAATCACCTTAAAATTATGCCTCCTCATAATAGTCATTTCTGTCCTGGGAAGAAGTCTCTAGGTATCCACTCTTATCTATGCCTCTCATCATCTTGTACACCTCTATCAAGTCACCTCTCACTCCTCTTCACTCCAATGAGAAAAGCCCTACTCCCTCAACCTTTCCTCATAAGACCTGCCCACCAGTCCAAGCAGCATCCTGGTAAATCTTCTCTGCACCCTCTCTGAAGCTTCCTATAATGAGGCGACCAGAACTGAACACAATATTCCAAGTGTGGCCTAACTAGGGTTTTATAGAACTGCAGCCTAACCTTGTAGGCTCTTGAACTCGATTCCCCTGCCAATGAAAAGCCAACACACCATATGCCTTCCTAACACCCCTATTAACTTGGGTAGCAACTTTGAGGGATCTTTGGACATGGACCCCAAGATCACTGTTCCTCTACGTTGCCAAGAATCTTGCCGTTAACCCTGTATTCTGCAATCAAATTCGACCTTCCAAAATGAACCACTTCACACTTATCTGGGTTGAATTCCATCTGCCACATCTTTGCCCAGCTTTGCATCCAGTCAGTGACCCATCCAACCTTTGACAGCCCTCCACACTATCCACAACTCCTCCAACCTTCGTGTCATCGGCAAATTTGCTAACCCACCCTTCCACTTCCTCATCCAAATCATTTATAAAGATCACAAAGAGCAGAGGTCCCATAACACATCCCTGCAGAACACCACTGGTCTCCCAGCTCCAGGCTGGAGTACTTTGTCTTCTACCACCCTTTGGCTGTCCAATAGAAGACAATTCTGTTTCCAGACAGCCAAATTTCCCCGAATCCCATGCCTCCTTACTTTCTGAATGAGCCTACCATGGGGAACCTTATCAAATGCCTTGCTTAAATCCATGTACATCACATCCATTGCTCTGCCTCCTTCAATGTGCTTTGTCACATCCTCAAAGAATTTGGTAAGGCTTGAGGCATGACCTGCCCCCCTCAAAGCCATGCTGACTATTTCTAATCAAACTGTGCTTTTCCAAATAATCATAAGTAATATCTCTCAGAATCCTCTCCAATAATTTGCCCACCGCAGAAGTATGATCTTCTCTTACATAAGGGGGGCCAAAACTGCTCTCTGTACTCCAGATGTGGTCTCACTAGCATCTTTGTACAGTTGCAGGAAGACTTCCCTAGTCTAGTACTCCAAACTCCATGAAATAAGGGCCAACATTCAATTAGCCTTTCTGATTACCTGCGTAGTAGCTTTCTCCATTTCATGCATAAGTAGCCCCCGCCTCCAAAAGTCCCTTAGTGTTGGAGGTTCTTGAGGCTATTCTCCATTTAAATATTGTTCTTTTGTTCTCCCTTGCATAATGAACATGCTTTCCCACATTATACTGTATTTGCTGCAGTTTTGCATCAAATTATGAAAGAGGGCACAGTCAATGTGATATTTTTGAAGCAGGGTATTTTGTGGGGATTGGTGGGTTTTTGTAACTATTTGTGTTGCTGTCACTAGTGCTGTTAGGTGACTGGCATGCTGCTCATGAATATACCTAAGACCGTGATGCATAATTTATCTTGCGCATCTACTTTGTCCCATTTCCCGATTCAAACTTCAAGTTGCTGGAGGCCTTTTGTAATAGTTTTTTGACATTCCACGTGATTTGTTCCTTGTGCAGAAAGAGATTGAGGTTGAGAATAGGATTGTTTCATTAACTGCAGTTTTCTTTAGGTGAATTAATTTTGTTCATCTTCAAAGTGAAGCAAGACTAAACAATCGCACTTGTCACTGTTACGTGATAGTTAGGGCTTTACAGCTAACACTGAAGACATTGAGGGCACGTGTGCCGCTTTAGACTGTTTAGGTAGTATAAAAATGATGGTTTTAACTGGAGTGCTGTATCCATCCTAATCAGACCCCTTGTGCATTCCTGACTTTTTTTTTTAAATTTAAACTTTTTCAGTCAACCTGCTCAGAGATGTTATTACACATCCCAACAGTGGGAGTTGAACCTGGGCCTCTTGGTCCAGGGGCAGGGACACTACCACTGCATCACAAGAGGGCCCAAAAATTAGACCCCTCTGGAGTAGGTGGAACTTGAAACCAGATTTCCTGGTTCGGAGGTAGAGATGTTACCGCTGTACCACGAGTGTTACCTGACTTCACTTTCACCCACTTTTGGCACAGTTCTATTCAGATTGCATTTCCTGCAATAATACTAATAGGGTATTTAGGGAATTTCAACTTCCTCAACACCAATTAGCATGGTTGTGTAAAGGATTTGTAGGGGTTGAATTTCTGGAAGTGTTGAGATCTTTTTACATCAACACAAAATGTCCAAGGGATGGCACACTGATAGACCTGGTTTTGGGAAATGAAGCCAGACAGGTGGTTGAGGAGGTAGTGGGGGAATGTTTGTGTTCACAACTACAACACTATGAATGGTTTGTTATGGAAAACATTGAGTGAATCTGCTTTTAAAAAAAGGGTGGTTTGAATTAGTGGCAGGTGAATCTTCATAAAATATGACCGTATCGGTCCACCGTAGACAGGGAACAGCTACTTGTGGGGAAAATCATCTGCACCTTTTTAAAGTCTATGTAGATGAGCACTTGAAAAGTAGTAACACTCTAGTACGGGCCAAGTGCTGGAAAATGGGATTCTTGTGTATTGGTTGGTACAGCCTTGTGGGCCAAATGGCCAGTTCTGTGCTGTGTGACTCTGAATGCAGCTCATCACCTTCTTGGGCAATAAATGCTGGTATGGAACCTATTTTAATTTAATTAAACCATACTTAATAGATTAGAGATAGTAGGAACTGCAGATGCTGGAGAATCTGAGATAACAAGGTGTAGAGCTGGATGAACACAGCAGGCCAAGCAGCATCAGAGGAGCAGGGAAGCTGACATTTCTGAAGAAGGATCTAGGCCCGAAACATCAGCTTCCCTGCTCCTCTGCTGCTTGGCCTGCTGTGTTCATCCAGCTCTACACCTTGTTATCTCTTAATAGATTAGATTCCACTTCATTACTTAACAGATTAAGTGCTAAATTGTCTCTCTTTCATTAGGGCACAGGCACTGTACAAAAGGGTATGCCCCACAAGTGTTACCATGGCAAGACTGGAAGAATTTATAATGTTACACAGCATGCTGTAGGCATTATTGTCAACAAACAAGTCAAGTGAGTATGAACAGTTTAAAAATTTGCACTCAAATCATCCTTTTAAATCTTTGGAAATGTCCAAAAACATTGCAGAGTGTTTTAAAAGGTGGACACCAAGCAATAAAGGGAGTAATTTGGGAGTGGGGATTTTAAGTGGTGATGACATAATTTAAAAAAAAAAGTTTGGAACTGGAATGAAATTTAATTGGATCTGTGGGAGTCACAAATGAGTGATTAGCAATGAGGGGGAAATGAAGGGTGACATAATTTTGTATGAACTGAAGATGTTTTAATGTGGGCCTTCCACATTTCAATATTGCAGTTTTCAATCTGATGGAGACACAGGCATGAATGGTTGATAGGCCGAGGAGTGTACATTGTATTAATGACCATTCTTGGCGGATTTCAGCTCAGAATTGAATAGAATAGAACGCTTACAACTGTAAACAATCTGTCTCAGCCTGAGAGCGAATATTGTAGTTAAAACACTGGGGAGGTATACAGAGTTTGTGGTGTTGACCACAAGATGATTGTGATTCTAATGTTTAAAGGGAGGAATTTTCAGTTTGTCTAATTCTCCATGTTAGGAAAACATTGAGTCAGGGAGAGACAGAGCTGGATGTCATTTGATATCTGAAAATTGACCTTTTTCTAAGCAGCAGCTAAGGGACAGAATGGGGCCACATAGGAAAGATTCTTGCAACTTCCTGGTAAAGGTACCTGAACAGGGAGAAAGTTGTAAGCTGATGCAGCTATATCATACCATTTCTGTCTTGTGCATTTTTTTTGAAGCATAATTGATTAAAACTTGATTCTTAAATAGAAATATTCAGCAATGGAGTTAAAATCAGAAGGGAGACATGCAGAAAGCTTTGGAGGATAGAGACAAATTGACAGGAGTATCTAAGGCTATGGAGTTTGGTTGCATGAAAATCAGTCAGCTTGACGAACAACTCTAACGACAACCTGACCTGCAGACCTTGGTTGCAATATCTAAGGGTATCCTAGAATACACACGAATGCAGGTGCAAAAGTGATTATATGAAGGGATGTTACATTCTGGGGGGGGTTGGAGTAGGTAGCAGAACTTAGGATGAACTGTAGTTTGTGTCGAGTAGACTGGCAGATGTTTTATAGTTGAATTTGTCACCAAAAGGGGTGCAAAAAGATTTCAACTGCATGTAGGCTAGAGGCAGAACTGCACACCACTATGCTGTTTTAGGGGTGGACAGAATAGTTTTCGAAGCTCAACTCTGGCAGATTGGATGTTGAGTTGTGACGGGTTTGTTGGAAGGTGGGTGAAATTTGTGAGAAAATGATTTGGTATTCCCAGTATTGGAATTTTAGGTGCTTTGACATTGAATAACCAGCCCCGTCAACTGGTGCATTGTATAGTTGACAGTTTAACATGAGTGTAATGGGCCAGGTAGATTGTTTGATCTACTAGAGGCTGTGTAATCAATTTTGTCACCCCTCTCACTTTGCCAATAAGACATGTCATGTCTCTGCTGGCCATTCAAGTGGGGTAGAGTAAAATGTCCTTTTAAAAATCCAAGCATATTATATATTTGACTTGGTTCCTGTCAGAGGGGATAATTAAGAAAATGAGAAAATCTTGCAGCAGCATCTTGATGTTAAGTCTAAATTTAAAGACTTTTTAGTATATCCTCATTCTTACCTGATGGTTTTAACTTTTGGAATTAAAGTCAAGTTGAGTATCAAAGTATATCATTGGATCTACTACATCAGACTTCTGTACTTGTCAGCAGTTACAAATGAAATGCGCCAATAAATTTTTGGTAACTTTTTTTGGTGTTTAATCTCACTTAATATAATCTTTTTGCAATAGGAAGTTCACAAACTGCATTGTAACTGTGTTGTGTGACGTTCATGAGTTTGACCCTGTAAAACAATGCAAAAGTAGGGAAAGAACTGTCCTGTTGCACCCCATGTTCTCAAAAGGATAACCACTCTACTTCAAAAGGCTAATAAATCGAAACAGTCAGGAAATGGCTTTCATTTCTTGCCAATTCTGTTCACTCTTCTAGGACAGTGTCCATGGCAAACCTGTTTCACTTTTTCAGGATTATGGCTACATTCTGATGTCACTTTTCTTGTCAACTTACCTCAACTGCCTTCTAATATTCTGTGAAGTTAGTTTTTAAAATGGCACGTCTCTGTTCATCTTTGAACTCGGGATCATTTGTGCACATCAATATTTATAGAATCATGAACCATATGAAAGAGGCCATTTGGTCCATTGAGTCTGCATCAGCAAAAACTACTCTAAATCTACACTAGTTCCATTCTCTAACACTTGACCTATAGCTTTGAATACACTGACATTTCAAGTATTTAAATTTTTTTTTTTTAAAAGCTGTCTGGCTTCCTGACTCAAATACCTTTTTTCTCTTTAAATCTCCTCTAAACCCACCTTCCACTTTAGAATTGTGCTACTTCCTTACTAGCATTTTAAATAAGAGAAATGTCCCCATTCTAACCACTCTCCTGTTCTGCTCAAAAGAACAACCTGAACTTAGAACCTTCTCTGCCACCACTCCTCCACAGTTATCATTCCTATAGTGTGGTGACCAGCACTGCACTCTAGCTGTGGCCTAATGCACAAGTTTTGTACAGCTGTAAGATAAGCTCCCTGCTGTTATAATCTATGCCACAACCAATAAAAGTGAGCATCTCATACTTCCTTAACCAGCCTGTTAAACAGTACGCTGCCTGCAGGGATCTATTATACCACTGGAGACTGTGTCCAGTCAAATGAACAGCCTTCTACTACTACCACCCTCTGTCTTTTACTGGTAGCCCAATTTTGGAGATAGTCAGAACTGCCGATGCAGGAGTCAGAGATGACAGTGTGGAGCTGGAGGAGCACAGCA